GTGCAATGCAACTAAATCTCGCTAAATTAAATGTATTCTTGTTGCATTCTGCTACAAAGAATCAGAGTCAAGGGGAAAATTACCCCGAAGATATTTTTATGGAAAGATTTTTTTTTCGACCGCTTTGTTAATAGTGATAGCAATATTATTGGGATTCATCTTATTCTTACACTGTTTGTCCTTTTACCAAATAAGTAATTGAAACGATCGACGTGCACTTTGTCAAAGCCTGCTTTAAGTTTGCACTAAATTATTGTGGAACAGTTAACTGGATGATATTATCGCAAAGGGGTCTAAGTTTTTTGTTAAAGACGAAATTCATTTCACAAGACAGCAGTCGAAAGCCCGATTTCCAGTTCGATTCGACAAGTTGAACCGGAATAATCATGTTCAGCATACACCGTGCTGAAAAGAGGGACAACTATGGCGGTGACATGAGAAATCAATGTCAGTTTTGGGGTTTGGGTTTTTGTTTGTTTTGGGGTGTATTTGGTGTTGTTTGTTTTTGTGGGGAGGGGGGGGCGTAAGGGGTGAGGAGGGGGTGACGAAATGAAATTTATGAATCAGAAGAGTAAATAACACAGTCTTTTATGACAGCTAGCCGTTTTAGTCTTCCTTTTTACTCCTTAAATAAAACTAATAATCACTTATCCATTGCTGGTAACAGCTGACGAAAGCCGAAGCTGTCCGGTTGCCTTTAAAGTTGTTGCTGCTGTTGTTCTGATAGACTTGATATAGTCACTTTGCTGTTGTTGATGTTGTTGTTGTTGCGGTTGCTGTTTTTGATGTTGGTGTTGTTGTTTTAGCTATTATTTTTGTTGTTGATGATGATGACGATAATCATGATCATGTTTGTTTTTTTAAGATGATGATGATGATGATGACATCATCATTACCATAGGGCCTATTTTTATCCTTATTCTCATCGCCGGTAGTATTGTTGTTGTTATTGTTTTATTCTTTACGGTTAAGATATAACGAAGAAAGTGACGTCTATATACAGGCAGACAGAAATAAAATCAATACCAAAAAAAGTTAAATTTGCATTATAGGGTTAATCTATAGAACGGATAAGCATCCCCAGCAAAAGTTAAACGTGTCGTTATGTTTAAGTTTAGTGAAGTGTGCACGGCGAAAGTAAACCATGAACAAAGGAACTATGGTACATTAGCTCTAATTTGGAGGTTGAATCGTAAGCTCAAATATTGTCAGAGACCTTGATGAGCTGCTTCTCGTCTTTCAATATGAACTCCCCCCCCCCCTCCTCCTCTCCACAATACCAATCTTTGCAGCAGTTGGCAGCGATACAATATTGTCGTAATTTGAGGTATAATTGTTTCCATATTATACATGAATATCCCCGGAAACATGTCATAAAAACAAAACCTGAAGGATGCTATAGTATCGAATATTCTTCCTCGTTGTGGCGGTCCAGCCCAGTATCGACCCGAACAGCGGGAATATTCCGTTTCCGTTTCTCGATTCGCCTTTTTGTTTGACTTGGCCTCTGTTTCACTCCCACATCCCCCCTTCCCCCCTCCCCTCCTTCTCACCCTCCCGCCTGGATGCTCAATCCATTTCTTGTTATCTCCTTTCTCTCCATCCTGTGAGCCATTCTTCTTCAATGAGCACATGACTTCAGCCCAACGACCCGATTGCGTGTTTAGATTTGGCATTTTTCTTCCTCATTGTCCCTTTTTGCTCCTCCGACAAGCAGGAAATGTGGGAGACATCGATGGTGCTAAATCGCTCAGTTTTATTGAAGCCCGCTGGTCTTTCCGCTGGGGGCTGAACCGAGTTCTTGGATTGTCTCAGAACTTATTCCTCTTCTGGGGTCTCTTCCTCCATTCTGTGAGTTCAAGGAGCGACATTTAAGTCCTTACAAAAGAATATTCTAGATCCTTTTTCTGCACATAACGGCAGCCAAATTCTGCAGCTGATCTCCTGGTCAGTTCCCCTTCCAAATAAGGCGCATGTTCAGACATGATCGGATATTTCCTTTAGCTTTTGTACCTGGGTACAAAGTCTGTCCTCATTTTCTTTTCATTTATATAACTGAATGGTGCAGGAGAGACTAACAAGATTATATTCAAATTTTGGGAAAAGTCTTCTTGAGCCCATCTATTCTAAAATAAAATAAGTCAAAAGCCCCTTTCTCGAATGATGCCACGACAATCCACATAAGCCCCCCCCCCCCCCCCCCAACACACAAAGTGGAAATCGTGAATGTGAGGACCATGTGGTAGGTCAAGTAAATTCTGAATGGAGGATTTAAACTTTTACCAAGGATTCACCCTTCTGTACTTGGAAGAAATTTAAGTATACCGGTATAGATTTTTTTCACATCGTCCCCATTCCTATACATGATGGTTTACTAGTTACCACTGGGTATTAAAATTATACTTAGTATGTATTATCGTTCTGTTTCAAAGTCTCGACGGGGAAACTAATTTTTTAATCTAGTCATATTGTTTCAGATCTGAGCGGCCTTTAAATTGTGTTCTTTTTGCGTCCCTGTAAAGTTCAAGTTTAGCACACACTTGGCTTCCATTTCTTTGTTTATACAATGTAGTGACGCGGGGTTTTTTTCCTGTTTGTAGAGAGGTTGTTTTTTCTGTTCTTTTTTAACTAAGGGGGGAAAAAGTAATTGCTAGAGTGTTCCCTCAGAAAGTGTGCTTCGAATAACCTTACATAATTTACATAATATTTCAGACTGTTGTTTTGCTTTATCGGATCCATCTTCGTCGTCGTTTCTTTCTAAATCACATTTCTGGCGAACGTCCTAGGGGTTTCCCTATATTCTGTGTAACTATTCGTTAAACAATGTATGTTTCTTTTTATCGTATTTGTTGTCTGTGGCAATAACATCCCTTTTTTCCCCGTAGAAAATCAAAATGTACCGCAAACAATTCTGCAAACCATTTCAGCGAGGTTATAACCAACAGTGCATTAACTCCAAAATTGTAGATGCTTCGTGAAAAGCTGGTAGTAAAATCTCCCGTCCTACTAACATTTGAAAAGATCTACAAAACAGACTTTACAAATGTATTCAAGTTCTGTAAACTCCATAAACCATCAATAAAACTGGCTCCAACCAACAGTTCTAGCTTTTCTGCGTAACAATTCAGGTCACTTAAGTTGTTGAACAAGCTGGCAACCCTGAAAGCTTTTCTTAGCTTGTTTTTGTTCGTTTTTTTCTTTCGGTTTTTTTTATATTTATTTATTTAGTCCTGTGTGATTCCAGCTATAGAAATCTGGGATAGATCTAGTGTTTCGTTAATTTTAAACAATTTTCTGACCCCGACCACAAGAAAATCTTCTCATTGTTGTGAGTCAACATTCTAGACATCTATCCATATGTTTCAAATGTTCAAACGGCAGCATCAACGGGGGGGGGGGGGGCGTGAATGGGGAGGGGAAAGGCGTGATAATAAACTCTGGACTCCATGTCCTGCTACAGGCGAAACCCAACGCCGACCTAGCCAGGAAGCTGATGTCTGTAGGGGGACAACCAAGCAGACCAGAGGAAAGACATCTAGTTTAAAATCGAACTATCTGCTATTGCAGGGTTTGATTTGATTATTGAGTGGAGAAACAGAGAGCGTAAGAGAGGGAAAAAGAGAGAGAGGGAGAGAGAGAGAGAGAGAGAGAGAGAGAGAGAGAGAGAGAGAGAGAGAGAGAAAGAGAGAGAGAGAGATAGAGAGAGAAATGGACAGACAGACAGATGGTAAAAAGTTGCATTATCATTTGAACGCACGAAACCTATTAATAAAGCAGTCAAACCAGACCTTTGAAAATAGTACAAAAATGGGTTTTTTTAAGTAGTTAAGCAAACTAAATAAACTATTGAGGAATGAACGCCCTCAGCTGTCGATTCAACTTTCGTCTTCAAGATTTCAAAACTCTCTGTAATGTCTTCTATGCTGAGCTGATGGCACATACTTTGGTCTAGAATATTGGCGCCCCATGTTCAAAGTTTCAATACTCTCTTCTTGGCCACATCGGAAGAGGGCGTTAACTAGGAGAAATATTGATTTGAGTTGGGGTTTACAGGGAGTCTCCGTGCAAAAATTACCTCAGTTGTTGTAATGCTGGACTACAAAACGGATGGCACTTGGTCGAATCCCCAAAGCAGCGTTCTTAACTTATTTGCTTTACAGGGTTTTAAGACTCTCCCTCTATTGGGATTGTTTCTTTCGAAAATGTACGTTGGATTCGGAGGTCCCACCTCTGTAATCTTATAGAGTTGAAAGAGGCGTTAAACCTGTACAATGACCAAACACAGTGCCTCTGCATGATTTCCCCTTCAAAGCTTCAAAGTTACACCACGCAATTCTGTGTTTTCAGATGTGTGTGGGAGGGGGGGGGGTGTCTACTACAATTTTTACTGTGCCGCTACTATAACATTTACCAAACAGAACCCTCTTCAGGGATGTGAACACAGTATCTGCCTCACCAACAAAATAAATTTTCACTGGAAATGTGGAGATGGGGGTTGGGGACAGGAGCGGTCCAAGGATCATTGAGTTTCAAATTGATACAACATGGAAACATGCCCCATACAGCTATCGCCGCTAGATTAAGTCACATGGAAACTCTTTTGTACAAGGCTTCTCGTCGAGGAAAACCTCCACAACAATACATAAACCCAAAATGTCGTCCAAACCAGCAGTTCAAGCTTACTGGCCCCAAAAGCTTCTCGGCTTTTTGGCTGAGATCAAAGTGTAGTATCTGTTCCTAAATTTTCAGCGGGACTGGTACAACCTGAAGCTGAAGCTTTGGCTTCTATTATATCAAGTGGATGGCAACGTCTTCTTTTTTTAAAATGACCCTAAGCTTTAAGCTAATAGGCCCATATATTCTTTTTCAACTTGTTTAGAGAGACTCACTTGGATCACGGAAGAAATTTGTTCTGTTGTTGCTTGACAATGTTTGTATCGTTTGGAAGATGAGTGGGAAACACCAACACAAATAACTCTAAAAAAATAATCTATCTTCAGGAATGGTACGATCTTCGCCTCAAGTGGGATCCATCAGACTATGGTGGGGTCAAAGTACTTAATATCCCTTCTGAGGAACTCTGGAAGCCAGACCTGGTCTTGTATAACAAGTGAGTTCGCATCACATTTTTTCACAATTGTTCTGTTGTTGTTTTGGTTTGGGTTTTTCCTTTTGGGTTTTTTGGGGATAGGGAGCTGTTTTGTTTTGTTTGGGTTTGTTTGTTGTTGTTTGTTGTTTTTTGTTGTTGTTGGGGGGGAGTTTGGTGTTGTTGTTGGGTTTTTTTGGGGGGTTGTTGTTGTGGAGGGGGTGGGTGAGGGGGGCAATAACCAATGTAAGGTTGACATGTTTCATTTATACTAGTATTTAAGTAGCGTTTGCAGTAAACGTTATATTGTGTTGTGTCTGCTCACGTTCTGATGCAGTTGATGCAGTTCATCATTTATGGGATAGATTTATCTTTCTGGAGTTTTCATTTTGCTGTACAGTGGGAATGACAGGATAAAAGAGTTATTGGTTGACTAAGCTCTTTGTCCTTTGTCTCATCCTACTTCGTGCAGGCAATTTTTTTAAAAATCAGAAATATTATCTGCATGCACAGTGCTAAAATTTGTCCAAAACATGCATTAAGGTAATTGAATATTTTCAGAAAATGTAGAAGATACTGAGAAGTTCAGAATGTCTACTTCTGTTTCATAGATGTGTTGTATTCCCATTTAAAGATCAGATTGAATAGTAAGATAGAACAATGCTGAAAACTACCTTCGTGTTTATGGAATCATTTTAAATGGTGCGTACATACATTCGTGGGACAACTTATCACTGCACAGTACATGGCATGACAACAAAAGTCGGTTCAAATATTTCAACACCTTTTCTGACCGACATGACAAACGTTTGTTTTGTTTCCTCCTTCAGCGCCGACGGAGACTTTCAGATCACGCTGAAAACCAAAGCGATCGTGTACAACACCGGGAAGATCGTGTGGGAACCACCAGCCATCTACAAGAGCTACTGCCCTATCGACGTCGAATACTTCCCCTTCGACATCCAAGAATGCTTCCTCAAGATCAGCTCCTGGACATACCACGGAGACGAGCTGGATCTGCAACACCTGTGTAACGGGAGCATCATCAGCCGACACGACGACCCTGCCAAGGAGGAGATCATTATCCCGCGGGGTATCGACCTCACGGACTACTACTACAACGTCGAGTGGGACGTACTCAACGTGACGGCCATGAAACGGGTCAAGTTCTACCCGTGCTGCCCAGAGCCCTACCCGGATATCACGTTCAATATAACGTTGCGACGACGCACACTGTTCTACACGCTCAACCTTATCATGCCGTGTGTGTCCATTTCGTGTCTCACGGTTCTCGTATTCTACTTGCCGTCAGATTCCGGTGAGAAAATCACTCTCTCCATTTCCATCCTGCTCGCCCTCACTGTGTTTTTCCTCTTGTTATCCGACATGAACCCTCCAACGTCCCTCACGATACCGCTCATCGGGAAGTATCTCTTGTTTATCATGATAGTGGTGACTATGTCCATTACGTTGACGGTATATACGTTACACATTAATTTCAAATCGCCAACAACGCACAAAATGTCGCCTTGGGTAAAAAGAATATTCACGGAGATATTACCCAGGGTTTTATTCATGAAGAGGCCAGAGCTTCAAGACAAAAACAAAGTGTCCGTGCGGACTGTGAACGGAATAGAGCAGAGGGAGTCCCCGAGCCCGGCTCACGAGCCTCTTCATACTTACGAAAATGTCCGGACGAGGAACGAGTCAGCAGAGAGCGAGTTCTCCAGCCCGTACTACCCACCGGAAGTCATGGAAGCCATTCAAGGCGTCACCTTCATCGCGAACCATTTGAGGAAAGGAGACGAGGATATTGCGGTGGGTACTTCTATTTCAAGATTTCCTTGAAATCCTTTAATTCAGACGATTTTGTCTGAATCTCCTCTCTTTTTTATGTCTCTTATTCTGTTGTAAGACCTCTGATCTTCGGCTCTTAATTACATGACTGTATCGTGTTGCAAGTGCCGGAAAACTCTTGCTACAGCTATACAAAAAAATATTTTTGTGACCTCCCCCCATTTATTCATTTCTCTGTTTTCACATAGATGGCCTCTGTTATCTCTATCGCCTTTTTTGTCTTTGATCTCAACACACCATCTTTCTTCTACTTCTTGCAGTTCATGTGCCGTTGTAGCCTTCGGCGTATCATTGTCTGTTCCTATTGACAGCCTCCTATTCTCTCTTCTCTTTGATATCTTTGCACGATTTCTAATCTTCACAAACTGTGTTTGTCTTCTATTTACAACACTGCGCCCTTTATTTGACTTCCTCTTCTCTTATCTTTTCATATTTTTTGTCTTCTTTGTAAATATATTCAGGATCAATGTCGCAGGGCCCTCTGTCTCTTCTTCCTGATATGTTTTTGGTTTGTTGGGTGGTAACCTTAATGGAGAGAATATTGGGCAGAAAAGAGATGATGCATCTTGTAACAACGCGTACGGCCTTCACTTTTGTCGTGTTAAATAGTTTCGTCGAAATTTTGACCTTTTTTTTTGCAATTTATATCTTAGCTTTCATGCTCTGTGAAAGAAAAAATAAATAAATTGATGCTCGGTATTTCTGTATTTTGTGTGACCAAAACTAGATCTTTACCATCGGGTTTAAACCTTTAAATAGGGCTTGATTTCGCTCGGCCTTGGAGACATATTTCCAGAACTTACCTCTCCAGAAAGATATGACAGAAAAGCAGTGCTTCATGAAAGGACTTGTAATGGTGGTAAAGGAAGATGAAAATGAAAATGATGGTGATGATGAAGCAACGGTAGTAGCAGCAACAGAAGAAAACGGAGACGAAGGAGAAGGAGGAATGTTATTGGATGATTCTAAAAAACACGCATTCCTTTTAACTGTTGGTTCACTGTCCGTTTCTGATAGTAAGGTTTAAAGTCTTGAATTGAATAATTTGTTGTTGTTGTTGTTGTTGTTGTTGTTGTTGTTGTTGTTGTTGTTGTTGTTGTTGTTGTTGTTGTTGTTGTTGATGATGATGTTGTCGTTGTTGTTGTTTTTGTTGTTGTTGTTGTTGTTGTTGTTGTTGTTGTTGTTGATGATGATGATGATGATGATGATGATGATGATGATGATGATGATGATGGTGGTGGTGGTGGTGGTGGTGGTATCGTTGTGTCAATTCACTGTTCCATCCATGTATTATATCCTCAATAAAACTTTCTGGTTCTTACAAAATATGTTCATGCCATTAGTCGTTCAATAATATTAATTAATTTTATTTATCAATTTGTTTCCCCTTTGTTTACCTATTAATTTGTTCCCCTTTGTTTACAGGAAGAGCGTGACTGGAAATACATTGCCATGGTAATGGATCGCTTCTTCCTGTACATCTTCACCACAGCGTGTTTCTGCGGAACCCTCAGTATTTTCCTCTACGCGCCTTCTCTGTATGATGCCAGAGAACACATGGAGCCAACTGACCCAAACAATACGTGTATATACTGATGTATTATGCCATGGCCTTCCTTTTGGGGGTTTGTTTCAGTTGACAGGGTTACTGTTTTTTAAGTTCCACAAGTAATTTATTCAAAATGTCTTCCTGGATGTTTGAAATAAAATACATAACATGTATGTGTGAAAGTCAGTGTGAAAATGAACATGTAGTGACATTGGACTTCTTTAGTATAGATTAAGTTTTTGTTCAGCTTGAACCTACTTTTTCAAACATTTTGTCTTCAACGTTTTATCATAGGAATGGTAAATATTGAGCTAAATGCGAACTTGTGTACGCTGTGCTCATGAATATTGTCTGTAAAAATGCCATGTTGAAATAGTATTGTTTTCTTGTGTATGTATATATATGCAAAGATTTGAACCTTCAGATTTTCAAAATAATTATTGTTTCTGCCTTGTCATTAGATTCTTAAAAACATGTGTGAGCTTGATATATGGCTGATTTCCTTTGATGCCATCATTTTTGTGGGTATGATGATGCAATCAGAGGCTCGGCAATTTCACCCCTGAGCTAACTGACGTGGGGATTAACAGCCTGTCACGTGTCTGCCACAAAAAGAGAAAGGGAATGTATGGGCCGTGCGCCACGTCTGACAAACGGGCCGTATGATGAATGCTCTCAGTTGAAACGACATGTTGACGCTTGGAAAGTTTTAATTCCTCAAACACCATGATGTGAAACTGAAACAGAGTTGAGTATCATAAGCGACTATCTGTTTAGAAACTCGGATAATGCGAAGAAGAAGCAGAAGAAGACATGTACCGGTACGTGAAACTCGAAATAAGTTTTTACGTGCAAACGGTTCTTCTAGTTTCTTCCAAATGAAACAATGAGGAAGAGTACACTACAGCAGAAGAAGAATGGAAAGGTGTTGCTTTTGTTGTTGTTTTTCGGGAGGGGGGGGGATATTCAGACTATGATAAGCAATAATAAGAACACTTTATAACCATGATAGTTACTAGGGTTTTTGTTGTACTTGCTTTAAATGCAATGCTGGGAAAGGAAGGGGGCATTACAATAAAAATTGCTAGTCGGTGATGTTGCTGCAGACAGTCATTGTCTTTTTAGTTACAGAGGAGAAAAATTCATTAAGTAATGTTAATGTGATACTAAATTATTTTTTTTAATGTATTCATTTATTCTTTCATTCATTGTGATACTTCCCTCAGGGAATATCTTGCAGGCATGAGTGCCATGGAACGTACAACTAGGTTTTCTCAGTCACTGTCATTATCTGTTATACTCAACGACCAAGGCCAAAGAAAAACCAACATTATTTTGTGTCTTTGATGGTTTCTTTTGTTTTGTTTTTTAAATCATAGAATAGAAAATTCAACAAAACCCTGCGTATTTGGCAGATTAATACATAGTTCACACTAAATTCAATGGAAGGCGTGATTCTGAATGTGGAACCTTGGTTAAATTTGGAACCACTCTTTTGTTGTCATATT